ACTGTGGGTGGGGCAAAGCTCTGTGCTGAGAAGAGATCCCAGCAATATTGTAAGAACCCTCTTCTCTCATTGAGTGACAGCAGTTTGTGGTAGCTGTTTGGCGTTCATGAGAAGTTTATTCATGCCAGGTCACAGGTCTATGTGAATGGAGCGTTCGGACAAATGCTCCTGTGTGAATGGAGCCTTAGAATTACAAACCACTATGTTGTGCAAGGAACTATCTGATTGGATACTGACTGTTTTGAATAGTTTAGGTAGCTCCTTATATTATGTGAATGAAAGGTAAATTGTACAAAGATTGAAAGGTCGGGTTGTAATGTGTGTGCTGACCTTTAAAATGAGTTTCCAAATCCGCATTACCTGCTGCTACATTGGAGGGGGGAAATGTCTTTACTAGATTAGTCATGAGTGAGAAGAAAGTTTGGGTTTGTGAGCTACATTTTATTGTGCTATATACTACACAGCAACGGGAGAGGCTGTGTCAGGCTATAGTCTTTTGTCATCGGCACAAGCCCTACTCCACCCAAACCTAGACATGCACCCACACATTTCACCACTCAACCTGTTATCCAAACTTCATTTTTTTGAATGACATTTTATGTATCCACCATGATGAGTATCGTCTTGTAATCGTGTTTGAGCGGCTGTGCTGTATCAGAGGAGTCTTGAGTTGCCAGTGATATGTTTGCTGCTATTAAGCTGCTCTTATGCTCATCCATACCGGACCTTCCTGGTTCAGCCCACCACCTGAATTTGTGGTTGTCAAATTGCTTCTCCATTGTTGCATATTTTATTAAATGTCTTCTACAGGAAAGTGGCTGAGCTATATATCATGAGATTATCATGCTCGTCTCAATTACCATTGTTACTTAGGGGGATACAAAATGCTGACAAAAGCAAGTTCCTATGGAGCGTTTGGTCTGTGCCCTTGGTGTATTGAGAGAGATGGGAGCATTGATGTCACCAACGAAGGTTATATTCTTGACTGATTATCAATTTACGCAGTGTAATACCTCATGTGCAATACGTGCCAGAGACTATTGTGGCTGCTCCGTTTCCAGAGACGATACATCTGAAGGTGCTTTATGATCGACTTGCTCCTTTTTTTGTTTTATCCTAGTTAGAAACATTGGTTTCAAATCCAGAGTTTAAAGGAAAAAACAGTTTGCACAGCCCTTTACAATAAAAGGAAGACATTACAATTGCAATACAATTCAGGACAATATGGTAAAGAGGGCCCTGCCTGTGAGGGCTTACAATCTAAAAGGGAGGGGCAAGTGATACATGAGGAGGTAGCTGCGTGGGGATGATTTGTTTGAGAACGTGATGGTTGAGCGGTTAGGTTGAAGTGGGATAGGCTTCCCTGAAGAGATGAGTCTTTAGGGAACGCCTAAAGGCAGTCAAGGTGGGAGATGGATGGACAGGTTGGGGTAAAGAGTTCCAGAGGATGGGAGACACTCTAGATAAGTCCTGGAGGCGAGTATGGAAGGAGTTGACTAGGGAGCTGGAACTCTCTCACACGCACAATGTGCAATTAAGGAGAACTATGAGGTTAGGGCTTTTCCCCATAGTTCTCTGAGGGTCACGGGAGAACTCAAACTATCGTTCTCCCGTGACCCAAAGCTCTGTATACAGAGGCGCCGCAGCCGAAATGGATCCCGACAATTATGTCTGGATCTACCCAGCTGCGTGACTGATAGGTGGCTCTGCCTATTTGGAGACAGAGCCAGCTGTACCCGCCCCCTCCCCCGTCCGTTCCGCCAGTCAGCGCTGGAGGATCGGACAGGGGTGGGGGGAATCCACTCCCTCCCCTGTCACGGCAGAGAGCCGTGACAGGATCGAGAAGTGAGCGAGCGCCAGTATGTGTTCACTCACTTCCCGATCTATTGAGCCGACCTGTGACAGTTTAATTGTCACAGGTCGGCTAGAACTGTGAGGATGAGTGAAAATCACTCACCTCATAGTTCTCCTTTTAAAGGGTAAGTTAACTTTCCCAGGTAATACGGGAAAATGGAATTACCAGATCAAATCTGGCCTGGTCTCTCCCCCCCACCTGCCAGCTATACTTAGTACAGGTGTCCTTACCCCGTACTGTCCAACGCAGTCCTGTCCTATGCATTTTGAATTTTGCACGCAAATTGCAAGCACTCATTGGTCAGCGTGGTCAGGTGACCACGCTGACCAATGAGAAGCGCTATTTAGCACAGTCTCAAATACAGTTCTGATTAGGGATGCACAGATACGGAGTATTTGGGCTAGTACTTGTACTCACCCAAATGCTCAGATACCATCCCCAATACTGGAACTTCCGGTCAGAGGAAGATTTCCATGCAATCAGGAAGGCAGTGACTAATGACCCATTTCCTTGTTGGCCGGGAAGCCAGCTCCTTGCTGATTGGCTGCCAATCGGCATCGAGCCGTCTTCCCAGCCAATCAGGTCATTTCTCTCCACCAGGTTTCCTGATTGGCTAGCAAGTTGGCTCGATGGTGATTGGCCAGGAAACCGGCTTCACAATCAAGCCGGCCAAACAACATGGAGTCGGCTTCCCTAGCAGTCAGGAAGCCGGGTAGCCTCTCATTACCTGCTGCCCGGCTTCCTGATTGCCTGGGAAGCACTGATACTCAGTGAATACTGAAAGCAAAATATCGGTACTCGATACCCAAAAACTGGTATTGGTGCATCCCTAGTTTTAAACTTTTAAAAATATTTTTTTTTTTGTATTGGGACAAGTAGATTTGGCCCCCGCTTTAGCCCTTGAACAAGTAGTTTTTTCAAAAATGTCCACACCCCTGTTTACCATTAGGCACAACTGGCATGTGCCTTTAGCAGCGTTTCCCTATATTATTGTTGACCACACTGTTTTATCATCAGTAGAAGCAGTCATGGGGTTTTATTTCCATTCATCATAATATTGAAAGCCAGGCTAGTACTAGGAAATCAAGGAAATGTTCTGTGCAAAAGAAGTGATCCTGGCAGAAATAAGTTACGTGGGGTGCCAAACGTTGTATGCCTATAAGCTCCAGTGATGGAAATTCAGCCCTGAACATTGTACAGTTTTTACATTTTGAAAATGTGTAGAAAGTAAATAGAACCTGAAATTGTACAGCAAGCAGCATTGAGATACTTGCTCCAAACTGCCATTGGAGCTGTGTTTATTCAGAAAAAGAAAATCTTCCTGGATTGGGGCAGATGAACACCGCTTCCCTGGTCTACTAATGCACTGCTCTGTATGTGAGTGGACTACAGCTCCTTTCGGGTTTTTCTTACTGGTTGTATCCCTTTTTTGGAAGATTCACTCTTTTTCTTTTTGTCTCAATGATTGTGCTCACCAGGACAAAAAGTGAAAGAAATCTAATGTTACAGTTGTCACCACAACCGGTAGACCACTATGGACACTGTTCTGTTGGCATGTCAGATTTATACTGTACATATGAATGTCATGTAGATTTAGAGGGTTTCACTGGCTTCAGTTTTCTCTGGTTGACTGACCTGGAACATGTAATGAGACAAATGAGAAGTCCTTACCCACATGCTTATAGAATTAGTTAGATTGTCAAGAACTGTGCAAGAGTTTATATATATAAAAAACACACACACACACACACACACGTGTGTGTCTCTCTCTCTCCACACAATTTTGTTTTACTTCTGTTTTATATCCCGACCGGTTGATTCCTCATTACATTCTTCAATATTTACAGTGGTTGCTGGAATAGGAAGCCAGGGGAAATCTCCCATATTCCTTTCCAGTTTCTTCATGGTTCCATTTTATACATAAAATGTAGTTCTTCCCTTTATCATTTATAAGAGATATTTGAATGTAATGCAGGTAGTTGTG